TGAGGAACATGACAAGATGGCTTCGTTTCGGGTGAAAACGGGCTGAGCTTTCGCTCATATGATGAACATTATTAGAACTGGAACTCATTATTGTAAAAATCCCGCGTTACCCCTAGGTAAAAAAAACTACTCGGCTCTTATCTCTTATATATGCTGATAATTTAAAACAAAAAATAATAGGCATATATAAAGATACAGGATTATTTGGCCAATTATCTATCATATTTAAGTAGTTTGACCTTGTTTTCGCAACTAGTCCGGAGTCCATTGTATTTATGCTAATTTCCAGAGTTCGATCATGGACAGGGCACATTCCCAGACGTTTCGTCGGCATCATCAGTGAATCTTGCCTTTCTTAGCACCACATTAGAATTCGTCAAAGAGACAAATGAAGCAGATCCTTTGACCAATTGTCTGCTAAACAATCGTGGTATCTCTCCTTCCGCACTGGGCTAATCACCCTTCATATATCCTCGTATCACGCCTTCATTATCACAATTTTTACTTGTTTATTTAAATGTATTGTGATGTGCCCTTTTGAGTTGCTTTCATGAAAACTATCCAAACTCTACGCTGGCTTTATCACTCCCTCGCTCTTATTCATTCTTGTGCTGGGAATGTTGATCAGAGGCTGCCACATTGTTAGGCAATCACAGAGGTGAATTTCTGGTAAGACTAGGCCTTTTTCCTTACCACATTTTTATAATGGGATTTTGAATAAAGCTAAATTTTGTTTGCTATTGCAATTGACTGCATTATTTATTTTCTTTTTCATTATTAGTTTTCGAGACTATCAGAGCCTAAATGAGGGCTATGTTTACCATATTTTGTTTAAAGTGCTAAAGGGCTCTTAGTTGAATTTTCAATTTCTTATGTTAAATACTGCTCGTATATCAGATCTAGTGGTAGACTTTAAAACCTACTTATAACCTGAACACGATCTATTATTTTTCTCTCCTTCATTTCCAAAAAATACGTATACTGCTACATTTTTACTTGTTTATTTATCCTATTTTCGTGAAATAGGATCTTCGTCGAACAGGCCGCGATTATACGAATATTAACCGAGCTGCTGAAGATCTAGGAGCTGGTGCTTCTGCCGTCGCAGCTGCGGTAGCCGTAGCCTCTCAACAACAGCAGCTTCCCAGCCAACATGCTTCGGTTGGTGTACAGCCCCTTAGTAATACCATGACTATCTCGCAACGTGGTGCTTCAGCCCCGCTGGGCAGCTGTGCTACTTCTAGTGGCATTATTGGTGGTAGCAGTAATAGCGTTAGTTGCACAGGAATTTCTGAGAAGCAAATATTCCATCCTTATCCCAATAACAATACCTCCTTAGCCCCTGGATCAGGAAGTGGCTCCAGCTCCGGACCGGCCAGCTTCTTAGCTGCTGGACTTACGGCACTCGGAAACTCAGCCACAACTTTAATGCATTCAGGACACTCTGCTGGAAACAATGGAGGTAGCAGTAATAATAGTTCGAGTGGCCATCTATCGCTATTCAGTCGTCTTACGTCTTCAGGAAACTCGAAGCTGGCTCGGCAATGATATAGGTGTTCGCTTTACTCTTGCAATCTTCCTCCTCGTCTTGCTTCGCGTTAGTAATGGTTTGTTCAAGAATCTTATAAGAATACTTTTTTGGATATGTAACTTGTCCTGTCTAAACTACTGTGCCTGTGGCTTAACTGGGACATCATTATTATGTTAATTGATAGGTTTTGCGAACTCTATTTAACCAGAGTATCAATTGCTATTTTAAAATATCTATATATTTCCTTTATTAGTATAAATAAGTTATAAAATTTTGTTAGATGGGCTAGCTAAATCAAATTATTGAGCTGATTCAGGCAAATGAGAAAATGTCAGATAATCTTAGAAATTGATGACAATAGAAAAAAATAAGCACTTTATTTAATTGTCTAAATAATTTATCCAATTTTTTAGATTTATTCATCGCTTTTAATATGGCATACTTTTCAATAGTGAAACAAATATACATAGCTATCTTGCTTTCCCAGACCACGAACGTCTCTCACAATTCCATTCATCAATAAAATCCGAATTTTTTACCCCATATTTCTTGACTTAGACAACTAGTACCTATTTATTCCTCTATGACTATAAGACTAAGTTTAAATAAGTATTTTATTTTCAGGAAGGATGGATTTTAGCGTTACAATACTCTTTTAAATGCCAAATTTAGTCGCCAAAGCGTTTGAGCTTCTTTTTTATTCTGAAATACCACTTTTATATCAAACATATGGTTGATGGATGATTATTTAACTGTAAAATTTGCAATTCATTTTTTTATTTATGATTACGGCGTTTAAAAAGATAAGCTCAGCATTATTTCTCTTTTTATATTTGATGAATAGGAAGTAATCTGAAAAAACTCGGGCTAATGTCTTAATGTGTGAAATCTTTTCTCTACTATCTATATCGGGTCGAGTGACTACACTATTTTTTGGATTCACCACTCTTCTATACCTCATATCAGATCGTCATGTGTCTCAAATTAAAGCAATTTT